AATTTCCTAATAACTTGATGCCTTGAAACCCCCTTTAACGATAACAACAGTAAGAATGTACCTTGGTGGTTTTGATACAATCAGACACCTTGCATCCCTTGAATGAGTATCGCCCTCTGGGTGTTGAGAGACTAAAAACACAGCTCACAAACTTTGTCTGCAAAATTTGAAATGAAGTCAAAAGAGTGTGCGCGGTGTCTTGGCTACCAGATATAGAGATGTCAAAACGACGGGAGGCATGCTCGCATTTGACATCATTGCAAAAGTGTTTGAACGGCACGCGCAAAAAGGTGTGCGGAAATGGCGGGCAAAAATGAGATCTCAAGATACCAGATATCGAGATTTTAAATTCAAGGAAGTCATGCACGTTTACAACTTCAGAAAGCGTTTGAACGGGTGCGCAACAAAAGGTGGACGGAAAATGGACGGAAAACATTAGATGCTGCCAACAATGTTGCGTCAAATATAGACATGGTGTTTGAATCGCTCCAAGCAACAGCAGCAGATTTGGTTGTGCATTGCTGTTTTGTATGCGGTTTCTCAAACCTGTCAGAAAACGTTGGACAGAGCTGCGTACGATCATTTTATATGATCAGTTGTTGATATAATGCCGTTCAATGATACAGGACACACTTACTGTAGGAATATAGCCGCCAGGACATCCTTTGTTAGGGAAACCAGGAATGGTGTCGCATCGGTAACACACAGACTAAAAAATAATGAAATAAACAATTGACGACTTGCACTAAGAGGTCACGTGATCAAATCGGCCATTGTGGCTGGCATTCTACAGGATTTTAGCTATGCGAGAATGCAAAAAAAGATGGCGGATTTGGATWTTTTTTTTGGTGATAAAAGGAAAGTTAGCGCACTAAATAACGATAGAAATCCCCTTTCTTTGCAAGAAATATATTCTTAGTAGATATCTAAATTAGATTTTTGCTATTAACTCGCCAAGAAGAGAAAAAATATGGTATTTATTGCGGTACGATTGCGGTAAGTGTTTAGTCTTGTTTTGCCGGCTTCATGCCCTTACAAATGAACTATACGATTTGTTTCGAAACATCTAGTCGATGACTCAACTGGTTTTTAACGAGACATTGTCACCTTTCTTTCCCATTTTTCTTTTTAATTTCATGGGTTGTTTACTAACCTTTGCTGATGTGTTCTGGTACGTATATTCATAATTTGGTAGCAAAGGCTGAATATCGTCTGGTACCAACAAACCACTGACTCTGTGGATTATTCCGTCTCTTGCTAAGATGTTAGACTCGAGTATCTGGGACTTCCCACCAAATACAATAGCTCCCTGTCAATTGAAAAATGAATTGGGAAATTGAAAATTTCTCGTTCATTGTTAATTGTACAGTCAGCGCATGTGTGTATTCGTGCAAAACACTCACATCAGTCTCTAACCCCTAAATATTGTATATATTGTATTGTCTTCTATTCCTGTTCTTTTGTTGCACATGAATTTACATCTTTTCGCAGACCATTTTCCCTTATTCCAGGAAGTCTTCACTAATACCAGGAATCCAATATTATATTATCAAATTTATTATAGTATATGACAATTGCTTTATTTTTCAAGGATGAGTAATGTAAATTCAAGGATATTTTGATTTAAAAAATCAAGGTCTTTAAAAAAAAATTAAAAAAGAAGTCAAATTTAAGTAGTTTTTACTTTGTGGATACCGGGACCACTTTGATAAACTATTACCATTAACCAATCATATTGTGACATTACTTCATTATTTTTCACCAGCCAATCAGATAGCGTATTGATTTAATAAGAGCTTGAGAACGCGACAATCTGATTGGCTAACGTTGTTATCAGTTCAAATCTCTGTCTAGTTTACTGTTTTTTGATTGGTCAGTTTTATTCAAGTGGTCCCGGTTAGTGTGCCCGCACAGTATAAGGAAATCTTAAATTCTAGGAGTTTTCAAGGACCTGTGTGAGCCTTACGGTCTTACCTGTGGGGTTCGCTGGACAGTGATTGACTCTCCCTCGATAGATGTGACGCGAAGCAGGGACATCAGGTCAGTAACCTGCAAGCCAAACTAAAGAAAGAAGAACCATATATTAATATGCTTGGTCATTTTCCTTTCTTTGGCTGTTGGTTGGTATACGTAGTGTGTGGTGGAGTGTGTAGTAATGTTTATCGAAGTATTATGATCATTCGGGTGGATGCAGTCCTGAGAAGGACTGTTTGATGTGACTGACGTTTCGACAACCTGAGCGGAAGTCATCTTCAGAGTCAAGTGAAGAGTAAAGTCAGATTGATCATATTTATACTGTCACGATAACAATAGCCTAATTACCTGGATTTGCGTAATTAGCGGCGTCGGTCTAATGAGTGCGCGTCGCTGTTTCAGTGTTGTGGGTCAACGACTTGTACTGGAGAGTTGGTTTACCAAGTTTGAGCATCATTCACTAAACCGATCAATTCACTTACCGGCTCCGTATAATGGGCTTATTAGAAACAATAACATCGCCCACAACACCGAAACAGCTGTGCGCACTTCCGTTCAGGTTGTCAAAATCAGTCCCATCAAATCCCCTCTCAGGATTACATCCACCAGGATGATCATAACATTACGATATATATTCATTCACCTGGGTTCAGACCKTTCTATACAAAAGTGTGTATAAAGTAGTTACTTTAACCCTTATATTAACCCTACACCTATTACGATTAATATAATAATTAAAATAATAATTAAAATTAAAATTATTATTTGTATCAAGATAAATAATAGCATTAATATTAGGATTAGGATGAAATTTAAGTTAGGGTTATTCTAACCCTAGCAAAACCCTAACCCTAGCCTTAAACCCTAGTTCCAGCCATTCATACCAGAATTACGAATAATATTACGATAAAAACTAATATTAATATTAATATCAAGATAAATAATAGCACTAATAACCCTAACCCTAACCCTAACCCTAACCCTAGCCTAACCCTAACCCTAACCCTAGCCTAACCCTAACCCTAGCCTAACCCTAACCCTAGCCTTAAAACCTAAATTTAAAGATCACATTCATGATTATTATTGGGTTTAGGATTGCCTTAATTAAAGATTAATATTTAGATTGATAGTAGAGTAAATATTTAGATTATCAATGCTCGTACGCGTGTTCACTAACTATACATCATCCTACAAGTACACCATTTAGTACAAGTCATCTTATCATCATGGTATGATACTAGGAAGGATCATGAACATCATTCCCTTACCTGGCTTTGTATGACGTGATTCTTAAGAAGAGACCGAAGTTTAATCTTTCCCTGGAAAATTAGAAAGTCAGAAAAATGTCACCTTTGATTTATCGAAGCAAAGATTTAAAAAATAGAAATAAAAGTAAATAAATAAGTAAATAAACAATGGGCTGACATCCTGGGAGGGGGTGGGGGGTACTCTTGTCCGTTTAGGGTAGGGATGTGCCGCTGAGCCCACTGAACCCTGATTCTGTTCCAGAGTAAAATTGCTGAAATTCATACCCTGTTCCAGAGCAAGATTGCTGAAAACCATAACCTTTCCCGGTAGTGCGAAAATAGATACCCCGTTCCAGAGAGGAGAGAGTGTGATTTCATATACCCTGTCCCAGAGCGAGAGCGATTTTATATACCCTGTTCCAGAGTAGAATCGCTGAAAACCATACCCTGTTTGGCGGCACATACCCGTATATCGAATATAGGGGAGTACCTCCCCCCCCCCCTTCCTGGCTGACATCATGGTGCCTTAAGGTCATGGGCTGAATTTGTGGGTGCAAGATGACAGAGGTTTTTTGGCACCATTTTTAAAAACTTGTCCCAAATTTGGCTCGACAATAATGAATGGCAAAGAAAACTAGAAACCAAAGCAAAAAACAATCTTAAATAAAATTTGTTAAATAGAAAGACTGCTACCTCTTCTGTGGTTGTCAGGTAGGATAGAGTTATATTGTCCAGCTGTAGAAAAGGGCTGTTGTCTGGAATCAGGAGAGTTACACCACGAACACCAGTAAGATAGCTCGTTACTCCAGACAGCTATAAAATAAGACAATATGAAGTGATGTAAAAGAAATAAATAGAGTCAAATGGCATCCATGGAATCCAGACTAATAATATTGATATTAGGATGACAGTTAGCTCTGGAGATAAGGTATTAGGATACGAAAAATGACGAATTGCTCGGATTTTTTTTTTGATTTTTTAAATTTAATTTAATTTTTTTTATTTCGTAATTTTAAACTTTTATCTTTCATATGTTCGTGAAACTTCTTGGCCCTTGTTGCACCTTTAAAAACGTCTTTACCCTGTGCAAAATGTTTGACTATTTCAGACCACATGTCATTTACTAGTGAGAGTTAATTATTTCTTTGTTTAACAGTTATGCATGAGAAGACACATGAATATGGATACAACTGCAACAAAGAACTGTATTCCCACGAGAATGACACAGGATCTGATATTGGAAAACATTATAYCCAAGGTAAAGAGGTCTATTGGGACTTAACTTAGATTTCTGGGGAGTAAGGAAAAGCTTACTAGAGTTTTAGATTTACGTTCACGGCAAACGTGAAACGTCAGTTGACCATTTAAAAATTATTTTAAATTACTGAAAAAGAATCGCAAAAAAAGTCCAAGTAGTAGAAAAACAAAAGAATATTTGTCTTTGGTGAGAAGGTTTGTAAAAGGTAAAGTAAAATACAGAAAAACGATGAAAACGTGGTCACGTTTACCGTTTGCGGGGAGAAAAAAAGTCAATCTAAAACTCTCTACTATCTACCATGATCCACCCAAAACTCTCAAAACTCTTGCATCTTTTAAGTTGCAAATAGTTAAGTTTAAAATAAGTATACGGTTTTCAGTCATCCAAACAACATACCTCAAGCAGCCTTGAAAACTGCTCATATTTTTTTTGACGTTGAATAATTTCTAACAATGTTTGCTGAAGTTGAAAAAAACAATGAGAATTACAATGAGTAAACAAATGAAAACTGAACGATCAATGGCAAATGAAAAAATGACCAACCCACCGACCAGCTAACCAACCAAACGATGGAACTAACAATTGAGTGATTGATGCAGTGAATAAAAAATCAAAAGAATGCAACGAAAATTAACGATTATTCAAAGGAATTAATGTTTTGACAGGATGAATGGATGAATGGGAAATTACTAAGATCAAAGTTCTCATAAATAATTTATTTTTACCGTATGTGTTAGCGTATAATTTCCAGGGTACCACAGAACTTTATCCACAATGTGTATGATACCATTACCAGCAAGGAAATCTGATGCAATGATCCTGGCCTTTGTAGCTGAGCCTGCCAGGCTGTAATACTTGTTACCCTGACAATGTGTAAACATATAGGTTAGGCAGACAGACAGACAGGTAGTGAACTGGTGGAATGAATAGGAGGAGAGAGAGACAAAAAAAATAGAGGGAAGGAGAGAAGAGGGAAGGAGAGAAGAAGGAAGGAAGGAAGGAAGGAAAGGAGAGATGCAAGGGGGGAGGGAGGAAAGGAGGGAGAAATGCAAGGAGGGAGGGATGGAAGGAGTGAGGGAGTGAGGGAGGAATGTAGAGAAGACAAAGAAGGGAAGGAGGGAGGAAGGGGGAGAGAAGCAGGAAGAGAGAAATGGAAGAAGGTAGAGATAGAGAGATAGGGAGAAGGGAGGAGTAAGGGAAGATGAGGAGTGAGGGAGTGAATGAGAGAGAAAGGGATGGAAGGATGCAGGAAGGGAGCAAGTGAGAGAGAAAGAAAGGGATGCAAGGATGGAGTGAGGAAGGAAACGGAGGGAGGGAGAGATAGAGAGAAGGAAGGGAGTGAGGGATGAGGTGATGAGGGATGAGGGATGAGCGATAAGGAAAGGAATGAGGAAGAGAGTGAGAGAGAAAGAGAGTGATGCACAAATGATTACAGGGAGGGAGCAAGGGACAGAGAGAGAAAGAAATAGAAGGGAAGGATGAAGGGAGGGAGGGAGTGAGGGAGGGAGTGAGGAAAGGAATGAGGAAGAGAGTGAGAGAGAAAGAGAGACAGAGAGGGAGGGAGAAACTATTAAAAAGGGAAATCCTACTACAAACAAAAAAATGCGAAAATCATTCACAGAATTGCCTTGACATTTCGACCCAAACATTTTTCATACTGACAAAAGTATGTTGTAAAAATTATGTATAAATCCTTAGTACTTACATTTTCAATGCTAAACATGGCATTAGTGCCTTGTAAAGTAGTGATGTTTTTGGTTTTGTTCAGAGCAAAAATAGACAAATCTGCTGCTACTACATGGAGACGAACCACGTGTGAAATAAAGTCAGTGTTGTTTGAAAGCAGCATTTGCCTCTGAAAAAAGAAAAGCAAAACCGATAGATCAACAACTGCTCGGGTATAGACAGGTTGCTCAGCCCCTTAAAAAGCAATGAATGCCTAAGGCGTCTTTTTTTTTTTTTTTTCTGTATTTTTTATTGAGACTTTTGTTACAACTTTACCTAATTCAAGAGTTTCTAATGGGGAAATGAGTCAGGCACTAGACAGGGCAGAATGCATGGAAAGGATTTTATGGGGTGAGATATCCCATCTTATCCTATCTCATCACATTAATCCATTTAGCTAATTCATTCATTCACTAAGTCGTTCCATTCTTCCTTAGTTACTCCTTTCATCTATTCGCTGATCTATCAATTCATTTATCCATTGTTCTATTCAAACACTCATATTGTTCTATAGCTCTGTCATTCTATTACGCAAGTCAATCTGTCACCTTAACTCAGCCCAGCATAGCCTAGCCCAAACTAATAGGGGTTGGGGTTTAAGCCCAGAACACGCACACATCATGAAAAACCCACCTGAGATGAAGATAAAGAACCAATCGCGGTGTCAATTGCCATAAAGACTGTAAAAGGTCCTGTATCAGCAAGTGGACGGGCCAGAGAATGAGTAAACATCGAAATGGCATAATTGAGAAGTCTCTGTACGCCTGGGGGACCATTGGTGTTAAGCTGCACGGCTCTCTGGATAACATGAAAATAAACATTGGTTTTGATAAGAATGCAAATTATGCGTTAAACAAATATGCATATCATGTACACAGTACGACAAGTGTTATGGGATTGACCGCTCTCGGTAGAGCTACTCAGGATCTTTATTCTACTTTCTCTTCTTCTATACTCTATCTTTACTCTTCTGACTTAAACTAATTACATGAGCTCTATTTATAATAACTTCATGACAGGTGTCATTCTACAATCAATATGATATCATCGCTGTGCCTTGATTGGCTAATGGAAATAGTAAATTCCTGAGTGTGATATCTTATTAAGAATAATACGAGTGAAAATCATAGAACTAAACATAACTTAAAATAAGGATAATATGTGAATATATGGTAAATGTATAAAAAGGTCTACGAGGAATATATGTATCATAAGATTTAAAAGAATAGTGCTAAAATAACTAGGCAAAGGGGTAAAGAGTGTGTAGGGCGTAACCATAGGTGTACATGCTAATGGGAGGAGCTAAGTGGTTTACTTGTAAATTCAAAGCATACCATAATCTAAACTCGTGCGTGATGGCAGCCTTACTGAAATCTTATATCGATATTTTCAATAACTAATTGATCGTTCTTTATCTTGTTTTCATACGATAAGAAATAGTAATTAGAAAACTGATGTCTAGCTTAGTCTGTAAAAACATTAATTTTCTCTCTCATAACACATGTTGTAACATTGGAAGGGCTTCCCATTGTTTCATGTGTTTAATCCAATTACAAGGTTTAGGTACGGATACGGTAGAATTGTAAAGCTACAGTAAGGCTAAGAGATTGCTCTATCTTTTCTCATTCATACGAAAACTGCTCTAACAAAAAACGTGTAAATCATAAAACACGATGAGACAATCTAACAAGAGCCGGTTTGAGCGCTAATAATTGTCTTTCTGGAGTTATGTGCAGGAAAGAGTGAGAAATCGAATGTCTGCGGGCATAGATTAAAACATGAAGGGGTGCGAGTCATGTAATGAGCGATTGCACGCGTGCGTGTTTAGCCAGCGGTGCACCAAAAAATGACGCTACATTACAGGTCAATAGAACTTTTGCGATACGCGATCAGATTCGAAAACAAGGTATTTTCTAACAAGATTATGTTTTGGGCGTGCTATGGAAACAGATACAAAACTTTGAAATTATGTTACTAAAGGAATACTTTGATGTTTCTTTTAATTCGGGAACAGGATATACTTTTTTGGAAAATGTAGTTCACTTAAATCTTTCCTTGAAGGTTTCAGCAATCGCCTGTAACTCTATGTTTTTCAACAGTTTCTTATGAACACTGCCAAATGAAGCCTAGTATTCACGTCTGCGCCTACAATATTTATGAAAGAGCGCATCTCTGAACAATGAAAGTTGGTGCACGCAGTCTGCATGCGCGCAAATATTGCAGAGGCGGACACATGCAGTTACGTGCAAGGCTGCGCGCAATTGTTGCAGTGTCCCGGCATTAAGTAACCATCACCGGCATAAAGAACCATATACCCAAATAACACGCTAAATTCACTTACCTTAGCTATGTTGCCATAGCAAACGGTACCATTTCCTCTGAAACCTTGCTTACAGGAACATCTACAATGTGTTTTTTCATTTATGTTAAAAATGTTATTATAAGCTAGTAAGATCATGCTATAAATCGTCCTTGACTTACGGGGGTAGCACTTAATAGGTGGTAACCTGTGGCCCTTGATCGAATTGGAATTTGGAAGTTGATCTTTACAGAGAGAGGAAAACCGGAGAACCCTGAGAAAAGCCCTTAAAGCACAGGAGAAAACCAAGAAGCATTTCTACCGGGTCCCATGGATAAGAGGCGAGCGCTCTCATAGCTACACCATCCACGATTTCCATGAACTGTTTGATACGGGCTTGAAAAATTTAGGCCCACTGCAAATCAACAGATCTCATTGTTGTGATTTTAAAAGTCGAACGAAATCAACCCTATAAGTATTTAAAATTTATGCGAAATCGGATCTTAGCTGCAGAAGTGAAACCACTACTTGACTAACCTCTTCTCTCCAGGTCTTGACATAAAACAATCTGCATTGACGTCACAACCACCTCTGTTGCCATCATCACAAAGATCTAGCATGGTACAGCCAACAGCATTGGTCTTGTTCACAAACCCAGGCAAACACGTGCAGTTGCTCTTAAAATTAAAAAAAGATAAAAATAAAAATTTCAATTTCAACAGAGACTGTGCAGTAGTATTAAGGCCGGTTTAGACGGTACGATTTTCGCCTACGACTATCGTATACAACACGCTCGCGTCGTAGGCGAGTTGTAGGCTTGATTTACACGCTACGACTCGAGTTGTAGGATGGCGCGAGCGTGTTGTATACGATAGTTGTAGGCGAAAATCGTACCGTCTTAACCGGCCTTTAGAATTCCAATATCAACTCAGTCTATGACCCCTTGTCAAGAGTGAAGCAATGAGAAATGTGCACATGTGCGGTGTGCAGTTAAAAACTGCACACAAGAGAGATGTTAGGTCAGAAGCACAACGCATCAGCAGATTAAAAATTAAGACAAGCCATTATTTTGAATACAAATGACGAAACTGAAGGTGCATGATCGTTCTGTGTGCTCTCATAAACCACACGCCCGCAACCAATCAGAAAGTGAGATTTGTAACAGCCATTATTTTATAATGAGGATTCAAAGAGGTCTAGACTATAAAATCTAGCAATGTTAAACAGGGACCAAATAATATGCATGAATATTATCCTGACTTCCTTTGATTTTCTCTGGATCTGCTAGTGGGACAAAATTACAATACTTACTTGGCCTGGAGCCAGGAAATTACAAGCAGTTGTGTTATCGGGACCACACCCACCGTTGTTAGTTTGACATGGGTCTATGACTACAAGAAAACAAAAACTATTAGTCGTGGGCCACATTTTAAAAAAAATGAGTGACTACTGACAGAGACCACATAAAAACACAAGGGCAAATCCAGGGGGGGCAAAGGGGGGCTGAAATCCCTTCAGCAGAAAAACAAAACAAAACAAAACAAAACAAAACTGAAGAATTAGATGCTTTTTTTATTGTTTACCGTTGTGTTGACGAAAGAAACACAATTAGCCCCCCCCCCCCCTAAAATTTTGGCTGGATCCGCCATTGGAACAATCTTATAAAATCCAACAAAAAGTGTATTTCTTAAATAGACCTGTTGAACCCGTTTAACCCACTTTATAGATACCAATCAAACAAAGAATCTTAAAGATGCTTTGCACCATCAGGTGACGGCAGCCAAGTTAGATGGCAGCAAAGCTTCTATTCTCAAGAAAATAACATGTGGTCTGACGTGGGGRAAAAATTACGTCCCAAAAAGATGGTTAATTGGAAAACAACGTTACTTACCTACACAAACTATGCCATCACCTCTGTATCCCTGACCACATTCACACCTATGTTTACCAGGTCCTGTATATATGCAGTTTGCATTTCTATGACAACCATGACTGTTGCCATCACAAGGGTTGATTGCTGAGAGTAGCAAAGCAAAAATAAAGTTTAGGATGTGTGAGAAAGATTAAATATGCTTTTTATAGCTGATTTCCATGTGGACAGGTCATTTTAGCCTCCAGAAGAGAAAGAACAGGAGTACATATTCAAATCTTCCTAGCAGCCCCTGTCTCTTTTGTTTTTAAGGGTTTTTTCTCCAGTTTCTTTGCATTTTCCTAGCTCCCTCCTCAAAATTTAACTTCTAAATCCTAATTTGATCTATCTGCTGCCTTATCAATTGGGTTGCAAAACCTGTTAGGCATTATGTCATCCAAAAGGAGGGGTAAATGCATTAGAGACACACCTACCTAGACAAATGCTTCCATTCCCGGAGTAACCAGGTTCACAAACACAAGTATCAGTGCCATTGATCTTAAAGCAGTCAGCCTTTGCTCCACAGCGGATGCTGCTTTGATCACATGCTGGAAGACCTGAAAAAAACCATTTTATGAGTTCATAAAATCACTAGAACCTTACTAAAGCCTACAGATAAAATATAATAATAATAATAATAATAATAAATTATGATTTATATAGCGCTGATATCCCCATGGTTCAACGGCGCTTTACAAGAAGATCTGGTAAAACATATAAAATATAACTATATAGATATTTAGTGTGGTTAAGTGGTATACATTAAAATCTTTAAACAATAATAATTACAAACAACATCATAAATACATCATATTTGATAGACTTATTGTTTTACATAAAATTATGAATCAATGTTTGAATAACTCTCAACATTAATTGGCTATTATATATAATAATAATCATTATAAAAGTTTGTTGAAAAGTAAAAACATAGATATCTAAAATAAAACCACTAAAAAAATGCTTGTTGAAAAAGCCATGAAATATACATCAATATACATCAAAAAGGGAATAGGGAATTTGCACTGACTGGTCACATGACTACCTCCCCTCCCCTACATCCTTTAAATGAAGCAGTTGTAACAAGATGCTAGGCCAATATGCGTCTAGAAATATTTGAATTCATGCAAATAATTGTGAATACTGCATTCTTACGTATGTCGCAGTTGGCTCCAGTATAGCCTATTTGACATGAGTATGGCTTGCATTCTCCACTACTATTCACTGTGTTCTGACAAACACCTCTTTGACAACCACAAGCTAAAAGATAAAAACATTGCACTCCTTCATTTCATGTCTTGATGTTTTAATATGGAAACCTTGGTACTGGTGTCGAATGTCTCTTAGCTAATCCCTCGATGTTATAATTATTTGGTCAAAGTATAAAACCTCTTATACAAGTCACTATAATACCTGGAAGTTTCAAATAAAGATGATTGAGTATGGATGTCTTCTTTCCTCCCACTGGCCCCCAAAAAATTCAGCTTATTAAAGCATGTAAAAAAATCAATAGATCCATTATTGACAGTACTAACAACTAAGTGAAGCTTTATTTGCCCCTTGAATTGAAGGTTATTTTTTTCTCTAGGTTGACCAGTTTTCCATCCTCTTCAAAACTTAAATTCCAATTTCATTTGTGAATTGGTGTTTTGTGCCCTTACTTTCATCAGACCAGAGGCGGTTTCAGGATGTCAATACAATTTGCTAACTACACAGAACCAGTATATATATATAATGATCAAATCTTACTTTGATTACAGTTGAGACCAAACATCGTTGTATTTGTGCAAAGCTCACAAGCTGTTCCACGAAACCCATCCTTAGTAGATGAAATAATAATAATAATAATAATAATAATAATGATAATAATAATAATGATAATAATAATAATAATGATANATAATGATAATAATAATAATGATAATAATAATAATAATGATAATAATAATAATAAGTAGTAGTATATATATGTAACTAGCATTTGAGATGTGAGACTTATCATGACTGGGTTACGTAACAGTAAAATCTTGTCTTGCAGACACCCTAATATTATGGACACCTGGTAATTGCGAACAGGAGCAAAATGCCAGGCAAAAAAACAACAGCAAAGATATGACCCTAATCACTAATCATCACTACTGTGGATGTTTGCTCTCATGGGCACCGAGTGAAGATCCCAATGTGCATGGGTGCATGTCCAATGTAGCAAGAGTTGACTAGACTGTATATGGACTATAATAATATAGACTGCATATGCTAGTGTATAATATGGTTTTTATACCAGCACTGTTGGATTCCCTTTTTCACTTTGAATTACTGATGCTCTCAGCAGAGTGTGAGCTTGGGGCTTCCCAGGGCTTGTTTTAAAGCACTGGTCTGTGCTGCAAGCCTTTGTTGCCAGCAAAGCAATTTTTAGACAGGAATAAAACTTTCCACAGGAATCCCAAATAAATATTCTTCTCACCAAATCAGGATGTTTCTATTATGCAATCATTCATATTTCCTGATTTCAAGAGTTTTAAGGAAGATCATATCTATCCTTATAATTACCTTGCATGCACAAGTTCCATTGCCTTTTACTTTGTCAAAGCATTTTCCAGCTGAACTGCAAACAGGATCACCAGGACAGGCTAAAATACAAGCGAAATTTTAACTCAAACTTCTTGAAAAAATATATATCCATTAAGGTGCAACTACTCCAACAAAAGCCACCTTGACAAATTTTCCACAAATTAGCCAATCAAAATTAGGAATCTGAACAATAGAATTGATACAMATCGGACAAATATCCATGGGTTTACGTGGCTGAGAAGACTGCCGGTACCTTGTTGTCGAATATAAATGTGCTGTCGCATAGCAACATGGTGATAAGATCTAACCATGTCAGCGTGATTATATCTTTGTCTGGAAGAAAAAACTGTACTCATAAAGACTGTTTTATATGATTTCTAATTTGCTTTCTCGTCTTATTTGAAGTTGTACAATATTATTTTTCTCTACCTTTGGTGACACAAATCACTAATTTGCGAAGAAAATATATTACAAGCTCTTCTTTATCATTTAGGTTTGCCAACCGGAACAACGGAAGAATATCTAAATTCAAAATTTGCCRCTAATCTATTGTCTAAATGCTCAAACACAATTGGATAATTTGTAGAAAATTTGTTGAGGTGGCTTCAGTTGGAGTAGTCGCACTGTAATTTATAAGAAGAAAAAATTGAGGAAAGAAAAAAATCAAATATGTCAATTTAATTTTTTTCTTTCCTATGCATAACATTAAGAAGAGAAAATATCACAACTGAGGGACTGCCAGGTGTTAAGAATAATGATTCTTCTAAGAAAACACATTTTTATGCAAAATTTTAAGGCACTGTAAGGAAATTTTAAAATTTAGAACTTCATTTTTACGACTCCCTTGAGAATAAAATCAATCTACTTATATTATTTAGTACATTATTTATCAAAACACAAAAACAAAATGACACGTTATTAATAACTGCCATTAATCAATTCCTTACATGTTATGTTCATCTTTGACATTGGATCACATGATTTATGATATATTAAAAGGATTTTAAAATACATCGAGATATTGCATAACACTTGCACTATGATATGGTTAACTGCTGCAGTTGTAGGTATTTTCTTATAATTTATAAGGTATTTAGATATATTTTATAGTTATGTTATTGCATATCCACATTTTATATTTTGTGATACATCACCAATAAAATTAAAATAAAGTTACAGTCGTAGTATACATACTAGACCGTTGTAGCATGAAGTTATAATATAACATCACTTCAGAATCATTTTACATATCAAACCTGACTCAGCATTATAATTTATGATGCAGCTATAATAGAGTAATTTTTCTTAACCTGAAATAGTTAATAGTCTAATAAAGGTTAATATATCTATGATTTTTAATTGTTTTCTTTTGTATCTATTAATGACATTATGCATTAACAAGGGATCTTTTTTTCACAGGTTAAATAAAATCCCTCTTACTAATTCCTACAGTTATATAAGACTTAAGCTTTGCATTAATTATAAAATATTCTAGCACTTTTGAAATGCCAAAATCATAAAATCCTTTTTATACATCAAGCAACAAGCTTCAACCAGCTGGTTTCGTAATATTGATTCGTTTAACAACGAAACTATAAATATTACTCAAATATCTATACCAGAAACTATAAATTTTACCCATATATATCTATATACCTTGGCAATCGCTGCCCCAGTGGCCACTACAGCATTCTTTGACAAGTTCCTTCTTATCACAAGTGTGTTTGCAACCAGCGACTGTAACTGTACCTATAATGCTTCCAAAATAAATGCGAAGTGAACAACCTCGAACACCAATGCCGCTGGAAGTATGGACGTATGGAGGGAGACATCTTAAGCGTTCGTTTATTGAGCATTCCTCACATCTTGACCAATAACGAACATAACGGTAAACGTCGCATCGGTTAGTCGCTGAAACTTTTCGAACAAGTGACCACGAACCCACAATAACAAGTAATAAAACTCTACTAAAGTTCATTTTGTAGCGTTCTGGACTATTAAAGATTTCTAAACAATTTCACCAATGTTCAGCGAAATCCGTACAGTACTAGTCTTGATAACTTTGACTTCCTTTATATCATKGACAGCTTGTTTAATAGTCCTCTTTTCTGTTTCGTCTGTTATTTTCAGTACTTAGGCAATAATGGATGCGTTAACCAATCGGCTTTGTTTACCTCGTTCAGCTCAATGCACAAGATGTTTTTTGAAGTCGTTCAAGAATGAAACTGTCACATCACTTTCCAAGTGAAGAGSCAGCCATGCTATGACCTTTCGTGTTTAACATTTCACCGTAGCTTTGCACGAAATATTAAAAGACGCATAAATCTCCAAGTATCAATCTCTCAAGTGATTTTCACAAGCTTCTGGGATAACTCCTTTAGCTGGAACTTTCAAATTTTTCTTTCAAAATCAAAAAAAGTTTTTCACTCGTTGGCAAGAAAACCTACAGAGTAAATAAGACAATTCTTACGCAGACCAAATCATTAGTGTTTTCTAAAGCCACCTTGTTTACCGCCAATCAGGCCAAACATAGCCCTATCAAATATTTATCTCTCTAAAATAGCTGCTTCTGTTGCATAGCGACATTTACGCTGTAAAATGTTAGCGATCAACTCAGCTGTTTTTTCGYCTATGCAAATTCTGCCATCTCGAAGGAAAAAACGTTTTTTTAGCAGGCGTTCCTGGCAAAGGGGTAAAGAGGAGCCTGAGACCTAATCGTATAAATAGGGCTGGTTCAGGGGGAGAAAACAAAATGGAGTCGGTACAGAAAGAGATTCAAGATGACTGGGAGAACCGAGAATTTATCGAAATAGTCTCTGAAGGGATCAAGAAAATAGCTGAGTTTCTCAACGACTTCGGTGAGTCTTTATTAAGAGACAATGGACGCTCGATAGACAATCAATCAAAAGACGCTGTGCGATTTACCAGCCGGGTTTTGTTTTCTTTGTTGACAAAGTTAATATCATTACGTCAAGAGATTTAATCAGTTGGAGTTGTTAGAGTGTTTTTGGGCTTTATTGATTATTGTCTGAAGGGTATTGATTGCCTCAGGGCTGTATCTTTGTAACAGATGTATCTCAACACCATATATAATCCAGAAGAACCAGAAGAAATGTTTCTTCAATGCATCGCAGCTATATAGAAAACTCTATGCTATAAGGAAATAAAAATGTCGAAAGGAGTTTGCGTTTCAAAGAATATAATGCCTGATTTTGCTTTACTCACACCTCAGACTGGCTGTCTGTGTTTTGGAATTGCTACTTCATATGACTTTGTAAATAATGTTAGTATTTTTGTATGTATCCTATTGTTAAGAGCCATCTGTCTTATTATTTCTTTCATTGGCTTTATAATCAAGTACAATACCCAACACATTGAAGCTGGTATGGTAATATGTGTGGCGTGCTTTGGCTTTTATTTGGAAAATAAAATAATAAGGTTCAAAATTGTAGTTGGGGTGGAATGAAAATTAAAAACTGGAGGAGCTGAAAGTATTTAAACAAGCAAAATGCAATATTTAGGGGAATTCAACTCTACCCTAAACCCAAACTCGCCCAGCCCCATGCCTCCACTACCTATGGTTCAGAGTGTCATTTATGTTATACCAGAATTTTGACGAGAATGAATAAGGGTAATTGAGTAACCCTTTTTGAAAAGGGTTGTATGCATATAATAGTTCTTGCTTGCTATGCTTTAACTAGAGGTTTTGTACCATCACGTTCTGGTGCCCATAATACAGCTTGGACTTCCTGCTTGGGAATTGAGCTCTTTCTCATGTAAAACGGTTGTATTGTTTCTGCCATCTAACATGGCTGCCATCACGTGGTGGTGCAAAACCTTTTATTTATTGTCATTGGTATTGGAAATAATGGTTATGTATTTCAATGTGTATTTTCAGAAATTATCCATGCCCCCCCCCCTCCCATGGAGGAATTTTTTCACTGCCTCCCTACCCCCAGAAATTCCAATTTTCTTCCATACACACTCTGTAATTTTATTTATTTTTAAAAGAAATATCACGTGTTTCCTCAAACGTTCTGGCATAAAACAAATCAACATCTTAAATCCTCACTAAATGGTCGGGGCATCATGGATTTTCAATTCACAAGTTGAATTTTACATTTAAAGTTCAGGCTGACGCACACGAGGCAAATAATACATAATGAAACACGATATTTCTTTTAGTCTAAATGTCTAAATGTCTTTCTTCGGTGGACGTCAATGACATCGACTGTATAAAATCTTGAATGTTCAAATATTCAGCCTGGATGAACTTTATTTTCCAGATATATCATGTCGCTCCAAGTTAGCAAAGTTAAATGAGAAGATAACATCAATGGAATTAAAATTAGAATACATTGAAGCCATGGTAAGTCTATCTGTTTTACATACTAATTAAAATACATAAGGACCTGATATTGGGAAAGTCCCTGATCGTAAGAAAAATATCTTTGATCAGTTTTTGCACTTAAGGAATTCCAAGTATTCACTTTTGGTTTTAACAGATTAAGCAGATTGTTTACTGATCAAACATTGGTCAGACATTTTGCCTTGCCAGAAATTGACCCCACCAACTAAAATATATTGTTTCACATAATTCTGTATAATAAATGGGGACATAACAAGTTTCTGTATTCCTTTTTCCAGGTTACCAAAGGCGAAACACTGTCATAGAGATATGACTGGAAGTTAGATTGTCTCTAAGCCGACAGCTGGGACATACAATTTTCTTTATAATTTTGTACTTTTTTGGATCTGAAAACTTTCATTTACAGCTGATTCAAATTCCTATCCTTCAATAGTATAAAACATTTTGTATCATTTTTTGTTAGACTGTAAAAAGCTTAAACCGAAAATAGATCAAGTGCTTAATTTTAAATAATTAGAAAATCTCAAATGTACAAATATGGTTATCAGTATGTAGCTAAATTTATTTAACATTTTTCCTATTCCTGTTTTTTAATCCTGTAGCTGTTCTTCCAACCAAAAATGCAATTTAAAAAATGAAGAAATAGAAAACGCACGCGCGTGCTGTGTGCTGTCATAAAGCACGCGGGGGTTGGCAGAACACAAGAGAAGTGTTAGGAGAAGCATGACGCGTAGCGGAGTGCTTCTGGACACTTCTCGAGTGTTCTGCCAATCAGAGCGTTACATTCATAACAGTTATTTTATGAGCTGTAAAATATTACGAGTGCCAAATGAATCGTGAGAAACCCCTGTATTGCTATAGGTGGAAGGAGACAGCAAGGTAGAGTCAATATGAAACAACTGTATCAATTCATTTGTTATTAAGAAGGATTGATTGTCTTTAACATTACACTTGAATTGTTTACTCTCAGCCAAAAGAAAATTATTTTGAATTATAACAAATGAAATAAAGTATAATAGAAAAAAATAATATAATTATTGTGTAATTGGCAACAAAAGAGAGAACATGAAAGTCCCGGGGGGGGGGGGTACTCCCCTATATTTGCTGCACGGGTACGTGCCGCCAAACAGGGTATGGTTTTCAGCAATTCTACTCTGGAACAGGGTATATAAAATCACGCTCGCTCTGGAACAGGGTATATGAAATCACACTCTCTCCTCTCTGGAACAGGGTTTTCAGGGATCTTGCTCCTGAACAGGGTATGAATCTCGGCGATTTTCACTCTGGAACAGGGTCAGGGTTCAGAGGGCTCAGCGGCACATTCCTACCCTAAACGGGCAAGAGTACCCCCGGGGATGAAAGTAAGATTAACTATGACTGGTGTTGCAATCATAGTCTTAATGTTTATCGACAGTGGTGGTTGCATTAAGGACAACACTTACAAAAAAATGTTCAAATTTTCATCATGTCACACTTAATTTGGAAGCATTGGCATATTATTACCATTACATGTATGTAAAATAAATGGTTTGAAGTATCATAAAAGAAAAGAGTAAGTCAAGACCACAGGCATATATCTTCAAGCTAGGTTCACCCAGTGAAATGGGTTTGGAAACTAAGCCATCATACTTGACAGGTATTTATTTTCCGCCATTATATACCCAGGTCATATGGTTCATATATCTACCCTACTGTTACCCAGCTTAATATCCACTTGATATGTGCTGGGTGTTAACAGTAGGGGCTTAACCTCAGCAGCCTGTAGTTACGAATTCCACACCGGAGCTCTTGGTGATGTCTAAGGTAGTGAAATTCTGTTGAAAATAATAATATATTATTAGTGTTTACAAATGGTTGGAAAAACCTAAATCAACCTTATTAACAGCATAGTAATTAGAGAGAGGAGGGCACTTGCAACTGATAAAAAACAAGCACCTATTTTTACAATAACTACTAACTAGAGACAATAAACCTTTATTTTTAATAACAGTTAAAAACAATACACATATATTTGTGTACAATGTTTATTTTTACAATAACGAACAAAAGAACAAAAGTTTTTTTTTAAATAACTAATAAAAAACAATGTCATTGTGGTACTCTATGTTTAACATCTCTAAATGAGACAGAACAACCAAAAAAGGTTGTGTCATTGACCTCTTAAAATACACATCTTCTCTTACCTCAGAGCAAGTAGGATGAATACCAATGGTACGATCAAAGTCTGCTTTAGTAGCACCACACTTCAATGCCACTGCATATCCTTGTGTGACTTCTCCTGCATTTGGTCCAAGGTAGTGAAAGCCTACAACTCTCTCCTATTTCAATACATAATCAAAATTATCAGTGACATAAAATTGGATTACAATTGGCATAGGTGTGGTTATAAATGAAATTCTATTATTTACAGATATACATTAACAATAGATAACAACCATCATCACATTGTCTTCATCACTGCTATTATATCACCTTCATAACCATCATCATCTTCATTGTCACATCTACAATGTAATTGTATTTACCACTCCATGGTAGCCTGCATTCCATCCGGCCTTTGTATTTATAGAGTAAAGTAAAAGTAAATTTTGGGGAGGGAGGAAAATCAGAGAACCCAGAACAAAAACCCTCGAAGCACAGGAGAGAACCAACAAACAACTCTACTCACATACGACATCAAGCCCTGTGGTGTTGGACTCAAACCCAGGTCGCCTTGGTAAGAGGGGAGCGCACAATATCATGAAATGAGAACACCACTATCATCACCACACCACTGACAACATTAGCACCGTTATCAATTATCACCACCATCATCATCACCACC